ACGCCCCTCCACCACTGAATCAGGGCCAAACCCTCCACCACTTAATCAACACCCCTCCACCACTGAATCAACGCACCTCCACCACTGAATCAGGACCCACCCCTCCACCACTTAATCAACTCCCTCCCCTCCACCACGGAATCAACGCCCCTCGACCACTGAATCAGGACCCCCCCCTCCACTACTGAATCAGGACCCGCCCCTCCCCCACTGAATCACCCCCCCTCCACCCCTGAATAAACCCCCCCCCCCCCCAAAACAGGGCCCCCCCCCCCCACACCTGAATCAGGACCTGCCCCTTCACCACTGAATCAGGGCCCACCCCTCAAACATTAAACCAACGCCCCTCCACCACTCAATCAGGACCCACCCCTACACCACTGAATAAACGCCCCTCCACCACTCAATCAGGACCCACCCCCCCCCCACTGAATCAGGACCCACCACTCCACACCTGAATCAGGATCCGCCCCTTCACCACTGAATCAGGACCCACCACTCCACACCTGAATCAGGACCCACCCCTCCACCACTGAATCAACGCACCTCCACCACTAAATCAGGACCCACCCCTCCACACCTGAATCAGGATCCGCCACTTAACCACTTAATCAAGACCTTCCCCTCGACCTCTGAATCAGGACCCACCCCTACACCACTGAATAAACGCCCCTCCACCACTGAAGCAGGACCCGCCCCTCCACCTCTGAATCAATACCTAACCCTCCACCTCTAAATCAGGACCCATCCCTCCACCACTGAATAAACGCCCCTCCACCACTGAATCAGGACCCACCCCTCCAACACTGAATCAAGACCCACCCCTCCACTACTGAATCAGGACCCACCCCTCCACCACTGAATCAGGACCCGCCCCTCCACCACTGAATCAGGACCCAGCCCTACACCACTTAATCAACACCACTCCACCACTGAATCAACGCACCTCCACCACTGAATCAGGACCCGCCCCTCCACACCTGAATCAGGATCCGCCCCTACACCACTGGATCAATGCCCTTCCACCACTGAAGCAGGACCCGCCCCTCCGCCACTGAATCAGGACCCGCCCCTCCACCTCTAAACCAGGACCCACCCCTCCACACCTGAATCAGGATCCGCCCCTACACCACTGGATCAATGCCCTTCCACCACTGAAGCAGGACCCGCCCCTCCGCCACTGAATCAGGACCCGCCCCTCCACCTCTAAACCAGGACCCACCCCTCCACCACTAAATCAGGACCCATCCCTCCACACCTGAATCAGGATCTGCCCCTACACCACTGGATCAATGCCCCTTCACCACTGAATGAACGCCCCTCCACCACTGAATCAGGACCCACCCCTCCACACCTGAATCAGGATCCGCCCCTACACCACTGGATCAATGCCCTTCCACCACTGAAGCAGGACCCGCCCCTCCGCCACTGAATCAGGACCCGCCCCTCCACCTCTAAACCAGGACCCACCCCTCCACACCTGAATCAGGATCTGCCCCTACACCACTGGATCAATGCCCCTTCACCACCGAATCAACGCCCCTCCACCACTGAATCAGGACCCGCCCCTCCACCACTGAATCAAGACCCAGCCCTACACCACTTAATCAACACCCCTCCCCCACTGAATCAACGCCCCTCCACCACTGAATCAGGACCCACCCCTCCAACACTGAATCAGGATCTGCCCCTACACCACTGGATCAATGCCCCTTCACCACCGAATCAACGCCCCTCCACCACTGAATCAGGACCCACCCCCCCACCACTGAATCCGGACCCACCCCTCCACCTCTGAATCAATACCTAACCCTCCACCTCTGAATCAGGACCCACCCCTCCACCACTGAATCAGGACCCACCCCTCCACCTCTGAATCAATACCTAACCCTCCACCTCTGAATCAGGACCCACCCCTCCACCACTGAATCAGGACCCACCCCTCCATCACTGAATAAGGACACACCCCTCCACCACTGAATCAGGACCTACCCCTCCACCACTGAATCAGGACCCACCCCTCCATCACTGAATCAGGACCCACCCCTCCACCACTGAATCAGGACCTACCCCTCCACCACTGAATCAGGACCCACCCACTCACAAGATTCAAGATTTGTGGCATTTATTGGTGTAAAACACCAATTTTTATGTGACCTTGAAATGTAAAAAGTCGTCATTTTGACTCAAGTATGTCAGTCTTTGACGTCATGTACTTGTCCTAGGTGTGACATCACAATTGAAACAATTGAAACATACAACCAATCACAGGAATGAGAGGTCATATTACATGGGTTAATATGCCAAAAAATATGACATGGGTATATTCACTGGATAAAGCAGTATATTATGAGATAAAAGTACATAAATAAATTTACTAGTTATATATCAAATCATTTTGCAACAGGTTCTGCGAAATGACTTTTTGAAAAATCTCGTTTTGTTCGGACTGCACCTCACCTGTGAAGTAAATAGCAATCCCAGCGTCATTAGGGTGACACAGGTCACCCCCTGTAGTAAGTATTTCCATCGGAACAGTTTCTTGTTTTTGAGTACGAGCAGTAACCCCGACAACACATTCTGTACATACACACACTGCGCGTGGAGACCAGTCAGGACCAGTAACAGAAACAGTATCACTATCCATACCCTGGAGGCCTCCATCTTGTTTAGCACGGACGGGAAGATGGTGAATGCAAGCTCCCATGCTGCAAATGGAAATCACAAATCAATTGATGATAAATTCTTAAATTGCTCAGTTTACCTTGTAGTAAATCTCAAGTCTTTAGAAGTTTATTGTGATGGATTTTATAACGGGCACTCTCAGCTGATCGCTTATCAATCGACTGAGCAGTGCAAGCAATTAGTTTGGGAAAACGAAAAAGAGAGTTGATTCTTTGTTATATAAAGGTTTTGAGAACCTTTTTTTATGGTCATACAGGACCACAGCAAAATGTGTTTCTCCATGACTGCTAAGATATGCATATTAGTGTAAAAACTTACAGGAGAAGGTGAGGCTAGGGATGTCTGTCTGTTCCATGTGACTATACACCCCCAGCATGGAGAACATAGTGAAACCAGTCAGGATGACTCCAAACAGGTGGGCAAGGACGGCCATCACAGAGTTCCTGTGGATGCATAAATAACATCTTGAAACAAGAGGCGAAGAAGGCCTGTATCGCTCACCTGAATATGTTTAAAATAATTGGTGCGAAGTAAACATATAGCACTCCATGGTAGGTGCTGTAAGTACATATGAAATTTCAGAAAGATCCATCCAGTACTTGAGATATAACGAGAACAAACTTCAAACCGAGCCCTACCCCTATGCCCCTAGGGGGGGGGGGGGGGGTCATACCCACCAATTATACAAAATTGAGTCCCCTTGGGGGGTCAGACACACGGTTTATACAAAATTGGTTCCCCTTCACCCAAGGATGCTTCATACCAAAATTTTGTCAAAATCCTGTCATTCTTACAGCAGAAGAAGGATTTTGAAGAATTTGCTATGTTTCCCCTATTGGGCCCCTCCCTTATGCCCCGAGAGGGGCCACACCCGCTGTGTATAGGAAATTGAGTCCCTTTTGCCCAATGATGCTCCAGCTACATTAGGATAAAATCCTTTAATCCCTATGGTGGAAGAAGGATTATAAAGGTTTAACCTCTATTTCCCCTATTGGGCACCGTCCCTCAGGTCCCAGGGGAACCACACCCAACATTTATACAAAATTGGTTCCCCTTTACCCAAGGATGCTCCACACCAAATATGGACCAAATCCTTTCATTCCTACAGAAGAAGAAGGATTTTAAAGAATAATTTGCTATGTTTCCCCCATTTGGCCCAGCCTATCAGGCCCCTGCGGGGCCAGACCCATGACTAGTTCATGACTAGTAGCGATTTTTAGGCAAATTTGACGGATGCTGGACGCCGCACCATAGCATAAGCTCAACATTCCTTCGGACCAGGTGAGCTTAAAAGGATATTAAAGCTACTCTTCTATATCCCTTATTTGGCCAGCCTCTCTGCCCTTTGAAGGGTCAGGCCAACTGTTTATACAATAATGGTGCCCCTTCACCAAAATGTGCTTCATACTAAATTTGGACAAAATCCTGTCGTTCCTTATTAGAAGACGGGTTTTGAAGGATTTGCTCTATTTCCCGTATTGGGCCCCGCCCCTCTTCCCCAAGGGGGGCCACACCCACTGTTTAAACAAAATTGAGTCCCCTTGGCCCAAGGATGCTCCAGACTAAATTAGGATAAAATCCCTTAATCCCTACAGTAGAAGAAGGATTTTAAAGGTTTTACCTCTATTTCCATTATTTGGCCCAGCCCCTCTGCCCCCAGGGGGGCCACACCCACCCTCTACACAATATTGAGTCCCCTTGCATGAGGGATGCTCCAGACTAAATTAGGATAAAATCTGTTAATCCCTACAGTAGCAGAAGGATTTTAAAAGTTTTGCCTCTATTTCCCTTATTTGGCCCCGCCCATTGTTTATACAAAATTGAGTCCCCTTGGCCCAAGGATGCTCCAGACAAAATTAGGATAAAAACCCCTAATCCTTATGGTAGAAGAAGGATTTTAAAGGTCACACACACTGTTATAGGTTTGTGTCACCATTTCCTAGTAGAATTTCTTAAAATTTTGTAGTAATATTGCTTTGAAGTAAAGAATATTTTCTGCCACAAAAAAGGTAAGGTTGTCAGAATTTTAAGGATTTTAAATGGAAATTTATGTAAAAAGGAGTGAATTTTGAAAAAAAATGAAAGACACAATTTTTTGCAAAATAATGTCAATAAAAATTATACTGCCATAGATAAGTATTGCATTAATGTATATCAATTTAATAAATACTGAAAACGTGTAAAATAAATTACCTATAAATGATTAAAAATTGACATTTTATAATAAAACAATATACACATAATAATTGCATGTAAGAGTTATTTTTCTTGAAAAACTTCACAGTAGTCGGTTTCCTGAAGTAAAGAAAAATGGACATGTGTGACTCATTGATAAAAAACAACTGAATTAATGCCTTGATTGCTTTGAAATACTTTAATATTACTGTCAATAATAAATATACAATATTCATCAGTTTCAGATTAAACAATACATAAACATGTTATAATGACTCATTACACAGTAATTATAGTACAACGTATTCCTGTATTCTAATATTCTGTCAAGAATGACAACTCTTTGGTAATATAATTATCAACAATGTTTTCTACTAATTTTTCCTGTATTTTTGGCACTTTGTAAAACAAAATTAGAATTTGCGGAAATTGTGATACTGTCTCCCTACATTGGATTTTCAACTAGGGATGTACTTCCTATTTCCGTTTATTAATACACTCATTCAACCTTAAACATGTCAATAGTTATCTCCCTACGCAAAAACATACGCACAGGCAATGTTAATCTGGTCAAATTCATCGGCAAATGATACAGGTTACATTTGGTAGTTGCATTGAGTCCAACTCGAGTAGGAATTGAAATATATACATATATGACATTTGATGACTACTAGATTTGAGGATCCGATATCAGTAAATACAAAGCATATCCTGAAGGAGCTGTATGGATCAAGGGAAAATTCAAACACTAAATGGCCCCGCCACTATGTTGCATGTGCATAAAAAATATTTCTTGTTTACAATATACCTGGTATATTCATAATCATTATCTTGGTCATGGTGTGACAGGTACTGAAATAATGTTTTAAAGGATTAACAATACCCCTGTGACCTTTCTACTTTGAGTGACCTTGACCCAGACAAAGGTGACAGTGATGCGTTGTTTCTATGGATACATACCTAAAGCAGTGACTGTGGAAGTGAGTATAGCTGGCCAATGTCGTCCAGCATCCTGTCCCTAACCCCATCGACATAAACACCAACTGGCCAACATCAGTCCACAGCTGGCAACAAACCAAGGTAAAATATCATAACTGGACATTTTTTTTTATTTTATTTCTTTAACAACAAGAGGCCCAATGGGCCTGCATTGCTCACCTGGTATTAATCTCATACTTGTAACCTTAAAAGTGGACTAAAATAAAGCTACATCCAAATTATCAGTATTTATGACTATAAATCATTCAAAAGAACCTGTTAAAAAATACAAACACATTTGACCCCTGTGACTTTGAAAGTCAAACAAGGTCATTACGTTGAACAAACATTATATCCTTTCATCTCAGCATACAACTTGCAAAATATAACCACCCTAGACCTTTTGTATGTTGAGATTAGGTCATTTAAAAGTGTATATACATTTTACCAAATGTGACCTAGAAAGTGGGTCAAGGTCATTCATGTTAATGACCATATATCATTACCCTAGGCCTTTCAATTTTTCAGAAGTGGTTTATAGGTTTTAAACAAATTTGACCTGTGACCTTGTTAATAGGTCAAGGTCATTCATTTTAACAAACTTGGTAACCCTTTATCCCAGCATGTTATTCGCCAAATATAATCATCCTGGGCTTTCTTGTTATTCAGAAGAAGTTGTTCAAATAATTTAACATATTTGACCTCTGTAACCTTGAAAATAGGTGAAGGTCATTCCGATTGCTTAAAGTAAAATGTTGACACAGTACAGATGGACGATGGACAGGTGAGCTAACAGTTGTAAAACAAGTTATATTAGTAATGGTGGCATGCAGGGGGTGTCATAATGTGGGAAGAAACCAGAGTATTTACTCAGTAAGTAAAAGGAAACTAAAATATGACATGTTTGTCCAGGTTTTAGTTTATACATTCTCCTACCAACAAACAAGAGGCCTCCTGAGGTATTCAATTTTCAATTTAAACTGCTAAATACCATGCAACTTTATCAAAGGAGTACAAGTGGTAAAATATAAGCTGCAAGAAAAATCCCTTTGGGCAGGCAATTTTGTAAATTGTGATGAGGTAAAGATCACAACGTTTCCATGTTTTAAGACAGAAAGTAAGTCCCCAGGGGGTGATCTGGACCCCTGAGCCAAACATAGTAGCATGTATGGCTTTAGGGTGACACAAGGGTATATTTATCCTGTGCCTTTTATCAAACTGACATAATATACTAGGCCTATCAGCAAAAGAAGACATGTCAACATATACTACCCCTATTATCGGCTGACCTGGAGATTACCTAGCGTACTCCATTGCAGGCTGAGAAAGAACTGGATGCCTGTGATGGCTCCCTCCTCCAGACAGCAGCGTGCCAACAGTGATAAGTACAAAACAACTGACAGTCCATATGTCATATACACCACCTAAAACATTATAAGTGTCATATCACATTCACGTCCTATAAAAGTCACATGATGTATTCATTCCTCTTTACAAAATTATAATTATAATTTGGGTACTTGTCCATAGTTTCTGTCTCACTTTCATCCATTCATTGCAATTTATTGTTACTTACCTTGCAAATTAAACAAAATAAAAGCTCTATTGTTTTACATCTGATGGTGATTCTACTAAATCAAAGAGCACTTATTTAAAAAATTTCAATCTGAACAATTGGGCCTGCATCGCTCACCTGGAAATAATTTCACACATGTAAGCTTAAAAGTGATCTCAAATAAAGCTACAGGCAAATTATCAGTATTTATGACTATAAGTCATTCAAAAGAAACTGTTCAAATATTTAAAAACATTTCACCCCTGTGACCTTGAAAGTCAAACAAGGTCGTTGATTTTTTTCATACTAATTTTAAAGCCCTTCATCTCAGGATGCAACTAGCAAAATATCACAACTCTATCCTTTTGTTTATTGATATTAGATCATTTAAATGTTTATACATATTTGACCAAATGTGACCTTGAAAGTAAGTCAAGGTCTTTCAAATGACCTTAAATATAAGTCAAAGTCATTCACTTTAACAAACTTGGTAGCCCTTGACCCGGGCCAGCATGCTACTGACCAGATATCAACATTCTAGGCATTATGGTTATTCAGAAGAAGTTGTTTAAAGATTTTAACATATTTGACCCGTGTGACCTTGAATATAAATCAAGGTCATTTATTTGGACAAACTTTGTAACCCTTAATCCTAGCATGCTACTGGCCAAATATCAACATTCTGGGCTTTTTGGTTATTCAGAAGAAGTCATTTTAAGATTTTGAACATATTTGACTCCTGTGACCTTAAATAAATGTCAAGGTCATTCATTTGAAGAAGCCTGGTAGCCATAGCCTTCATCCCATCATGTTAAGGGCCAAATATCATCAATCTGCGACTTTTGGTTATTCAGAAGAAGTTGTTGAAGATTTTGAACACATTTGATCCCTGTGACTTTGAATACAAGTTAAGGTCATTCATCTTAACAAACTTAGAGGCCGTTGATCCAGCATGCTACTGACCAGATATCAACATTCTAGGCATTATGGTTATTGAGAAGAAGTTGTTTGAAGATTTTCACATATATGACCTCTGTGACCTTAAATTTTATTCCAGGTCATTTATTTAAACAAATCTGGTATCCTTTCATCCTAGCATGCTACTGGCCAAATATCATCACCCTGGGCATTTTGGTTATTCAGAAGAAGTTGTTCAAAGTTTTTCACATATTTGACCCCTGTGACCTTGAATATGGGTGAATGTCATTTGTTTGAACAAACTTGGTAGCCCTTCATCCCAGTATGCTAATGGCGAAATATCAACATTCTGGGCCTTTTGGTTACTAAAGGGAAGTTGTTAAAAGTAAATATTGATGCTGGACGACGGACGTCACACCACGGTATAAGCTCACCTGGCCCTGTGGGCCAGGTGAGCTAAAAACAAAACACTTTCATAGGGTTTTTTTAATCTGAAAATTTGTTACAGGGCCAGGTGAGCTAAAAACAAAACACTTTCATAGGGGTTTTTTTAATCTGAAAATTTGTTATTTACTGAAAAGACTTTCCTTGAGATTCGTGCTCACCTTGCCAAATGACCTTGGTCCGGCAATTGTCATGACAAAGGTAAGGGTCCAGACACCAACAAGACACAGCCCTAGTGGCCACTGTACCTCACCAAGAGCCTCCACACCACTGGAGATGTGTAGGACATCATCACTGAATGTACAAGTTTTAATAAAATTTGACAAAACAATGACCATCTCAAAACCTGATCATCAAAGATAAAATTCAAAGGTTGAAATAGTTCATTATGAATTTCAGGGTTGAATGAGTTAAGGAGAAGGTTCACTGCTCAGAGTTCAATACATATTTTAAATTTTCTAATTTTAAAAGGACAAAAGATAGTTAAAGTGACCTTTAACCTTTGACCCTTTGATCTGTTAAGCAATCGTAAACAATTTTTGGGCAAAGAAACGCAAATCATAAACAGTGTTTGGGCACAGAAATACAAAGAAGTTAACATGATGAATCAAAGTTATTTTCTATTTATGGTAACAGTAACCTTCAAATTTGAAATGTTCACATGAAAAGGAACTAATGGCTTAAATGAGTATAGAAGTGCTGTGTGAACTTTGAGTTTGATTGACTGAAGGAAGGTCAATCCTTTAACATGTTTTATAAACCTTTTATTGGCTCCTAATGACAGTAACACAATTTTGACCTTCTGACCTCAGTAAAGCAATCCCATCCACATGCAGTTATGTCAAGGAAGCTGCATGTAGCTTTACATTGAAGGAGACAAAGAAAGTCAAGCTATTCACCAGAAACGGATTTTCTTTTGTAGTTAAAATTATATTAACTTTTGAACTGAAAGTTTCAGTGACAATGAATGTTGCATTTAAGCAAGTCCTAAGAAACATTTTGACAAATAGCTTACAAAAAGGCGGAAAGTTTACTGAAAAGGTTAAAACTAAACTAGAAATTTCTAGAATGTTCAGACCAGAAATTGAACTTACTGAAGACAAGAAATGTTCACATAGCTTACTAAAAATATTCAGACCATTAGTTAATCAAAGATGAAAAATGTTTAAGCAGACAACCTACTAGAAATACTGGTGCTGTTTATCAGAGATACTGTCCAAAGGGAAGCTCTGCACGGTGGATACATTGTGTGATGAGAGCGAAGTGTAGGTTTCATGGTATACATCATCTTGGCTTGACTGGTTCACATCAAGGAATGGCCAGCATTGGTCTGTATAAACATTTGACAACAGGCTAAAGTTGACTGAGTTTCTTTCTTGGGTACCTTAAACTACAGAATGTCACTAATTACAGACCTGTGAATAAAAAGTTACTTTTTTTAAGTTGACGTTTGTTTTCTACTCTTTTGTTTGTTTGATGTCATTAATCCTTTAACATGTTTTATCAACCTTTTATTGGCCCCTAATGACCACTCCTCTATTTGATTATTAGTTTTTGTTTGATCACATAAACGTGCACTGATATTAACCAAGGAAAACCTATTTATGAAATTTGAGAAAGATCTGTCAAGTACTTCTTGAGAAATAGTGATAACAAACTTTTAGATGGCTGTCTAGCAGCAATCTTGTTTTTTTAACAAACTTTTAGATGGCTGACTTAAGCAGCAATCTTGTTTTTTAACAAACTTTTAGATGGCTGTCTAGCAGCAATCTTGTTTTTTTAACAAACTTTTAGATGGCTGTCTAGAAGCAATCTTGCTTTTTAACAAACTTTTAGATGGCTGTCTAGCAGCAATCTTGTTTTTTTAACAAACTTTTCGTTGGCTGTCTAGCAGCAATCTTGTTTTTTAACAAATTTTTAGATGGCTGTCTAGCAGCAATCTTGTTTTTTAACAAACTTTTAGATGGCTGTCTAGCAGCAATCTTGTATTTTAAACATTTAAAGTTTGCATGGGGGAGATTCTGCATGCTCAGAATTAAAACATAAATGAAAATGTGTGTTTATACCCCATTAACAAACTAACCCTTAAAAATGGTATATTTTGAGTTGTTCTTTCAGATGAAATGAATAAAATTTAAAACAATGGAATTCAAGTTTACCAAACTCACTGAAAATACTAAATTTTAGGGTTCAAAATTGATAGCCTCCCTAAATAGGGAGAGTTGGCCAGCATGACATACACAATTACAGAGCAAGGGTTTGGGAACCTTTGTTTACAACTTGAGAAAAGTTTGCAAGTTCTTTTTTAGAAAACACAATAAGATTAAGTGTTTAAGGAGAGATAAAGAACAGATAGATGACAGACCATGGGTGATTACAGCAGCCTACCATCTCATGATGACGGGATAATAAAACAGCATTCTATCAATACAGGACCTTTCCATATATAAATCTAAACTGTTATGTCAGACAAATAACCACAAACTTTCCATTGCCTGCACACCAAAGCTACTTGCTCTGGACTTGTGTATATTTTTGTCTGTTAGGGTTTGTGCTTTTCCATTCTGAAATCAACACTAATACATCATATAATTTTCTCTATATGTGAGGTTATTTAATGTCACAAAGCTTTTTCATACATTGTCATACATAGTGACTTTGCCATACAACGACACCTTCCTTGCCAAATGTTGTAGAAAGCCAACAAATGGCAGGAGTTCAGGAAGAATGATGCCAATAATCACACAATTCAACATGGATTTCAATCTATAGACAGCATCATGTTCTTAAAGTCCACCCATTTGTAATGATTTCTTTACTTATGGAGCTGTGATCCGCTGTAAAACAAAGTATCCCATACAGAGAGTGAATGTGGTCAGTGGTCAAAAAAAAGAACACAACGATTTGTTTTCTTGCAGTTAATTCTGTCATCTCAGGATATAACTGCATACCTGTCAATTACTCCACAAGAAAGAAAAAAGAAAAGAAACTTTGGAAAATGATTTTCAATGAATGAGGTCAGAGGTCAAAGTAACTATCACAATTACCTAATTTTTTCAACTGCACTCTACCATAAGTACCAAGGCATACTACATTTGGTTAATCCTGGTAGAAGATATACCATGAAAAATATTTTTCAAATGTAAAGGTCAAATGTCATAAGACACAGTGACCTACATCTTGTACTGCACTCCATCATCCAGATATGTACTTCCAGACCAAATAATCATTCTAGTACAGAAAATATTCCATGGACAAACTTTTTCAAAGGTTAAGGTCGCAGACACCTACTCTGAACTCCACCATCCAAATAAGTATCTGGTAGAAGGATGGGGATATTAAAGGACTGGTGGGGAACTTAAATTATGATCATTCAGAAACAAATGACTTCCACTCACACAACTAAGCATTGAAATGATTTTGAAGTAACTGCACCCCGATATTAACAAGTTTCAATGCGCAAAATCAATCAGTGCCTAAACTAGGACCTCATGTGTGTCCTTCAATCAAGTAGAGATTTAAAGCAGCCTTAAGACTACAGAGGCCCTAGACAACATCATTGATCCAGGCAACCCAGACAGTCTATACACTATTTCTATGCTGTGACTGCTCGTAACATTCTTTCGCTTTCTTGGATACCAATAAATGCACAACCCTTCAATGCCAGTGAAGAGGTAACAAAATCAATTATCATATTGCAGGAATTTCTATTATGATAGATTAACTTCACTCCAAACACTATTATCTTAAAATCTCTACAGAGAGAAAACAGAACTTATTTTCATCCAAAAGGCAATTTCAATAAAAATGTGTCATTCAATACCAATCTACTGTACATGTCAGTATAAGTTTGTTCACTCTCCAATAGATAGATGCTGTGCACAGCTTACTAATGATACCCTGAGCCTTGAGACCTATCAATATGTCTGTCTCATGGTGGACTGGCTGTACAGCTCCTTTGATGTACAGCTCTTGGTATAATCAGAAAGGTTATACCAGATTATACAATTATCTAACATGTGAATCCAGAAATGTCTTCTGACCTCACCAAATATCCTGTACTCCTTTATAATGTATCATCTCATCATGGTTCCGCATGTTATATATATTTCCACGTCACCATTTTAAGTTAGCTCATGACTTTGTGACCTGCTTGACACTACATGAGGATGTTTGAGACATTTTGCAATCGTCTGTAAACTGACAAATATTACCAGAGTCAGGAGCATACCTTTTGTTTATACAAAATTGAGTCCCTTATGCTCAGGCCGAATAGTCAAAACCCACTGAGCCGTTCAAAACTAAAAACAAATAACGAATACTTCCGACAGGTGAAAATTTGTTGAAAATGTTTGTTCGTAATTTTTTAAAATACAGTTTTATGTTGCTTGTTTTTGGTTTTCATCAGTAGATTGTACACGTCTATGACAGTTTCAACACTTTTCTATCAATATAAGTATGAAATTGCGACTGTTTCCTAAGGTTGCAGAAACTGATGACACAAGGACAGTAGAATACACAGAACAAATATTTTCATTTACCATAAGGAATAAGTGTATAAAATACAGGCTTTATAGGTTAACAAGAACTTGCGTTACTGGTTGGAAACCAATTTTCAACTAACCTATCATCTTTGGGCCTGTAAAGGAAATTTAACCCATTTAGAAAATGCTTTTGGTAAGTCAGCATGCAATGTACAAAGGCTTAGTATAATAGGCCAACAGGAACTTGATTAATTGAGGGGAAACCAAATTTCTTTTTTGAAGTACCAGTGACTTTGACCTTTGACCTTTGAATTCCAAGCCAACACTTTCTGAAAGAAATCATTGTATTAATTTAAGGTTAATCAGCCCTTCTAAACTCAACTCATGTGGTGGTTGGATGGGATAGTGGTATATTGTACTCACCTTTCACCAAAACAGCTGGGGCTTAATTCCCCAAAGGGAGGTGAAAATTAGGTTCATGGATCACATGCCCAGAAAAATTTGATTCATAATTTTGTTAAATAAACAAGAGGCCCAACTGGCCTGCATTGCTCACCTTGTATTAATCTCACACCTTAAAAGTAATCTAAAATAAAGCTACTGGCAAAATATCAGTGTTTATGACTTAAGTCATTCAAAAGAACCTGTTAAAAGATTTAAAAATATTTAATCCCTGTGACCTTGAAAGTCGAACAAGGTCATTACATAACAAACTTTATAGCCCTTCATCTCAACAGGCAATTTACAAAATAAACCACCCCAGACCTTTTGTTTATTGAGATTAGGTCATTTAAAGATTTTATACATATTTGACTAAATGCGACCTTGAAAGTGGGTCAAGGTCATTCAATGAAAAAGCATGATAGTCCTTCATCCAAGCACGCTTTTATTCAGAAGAAGTTGTTTATATAAGATATTTGACCTGTGTGACCTTCAATAAATGTCAAGTTAATTAATTTTAACAAACTTGGTAGCCCTTCATCCGAACATGCTAATTGCCAAATATCAACATTCTGGACCTCATGGTTATTCAGAAGAAGTTGTTTAAAGGATTTTGAAGACAATTGACCTCTTTGACCTTGAATATAAGTCAAGTTCATTCATTTGAACAACCTTGGTAGCCCGTCATTCTAGCATGCTACTGGCCAAATAGCACCATCCTGGGCCTCATGGTTATTCAGAAGAAGTCGTTTAAAGATTTTGAACATATTTGACCCCTGTTACCTTGAAGTCAAGCTCATTCATTTTAACAAACTTGGTAGCCCTTCATCCAGGCAAGCTTCTGACCAAATATCAACATCCTGGTTCTATTGGTTATTCAGAAGAAGTTTTTTAAAGTTCTTTTTTAGACAATTGATCCCTGTGACCTTGAATTGAGTGAAGGTCATTCATTTAAAAAAAACTGGGTAGCATGCTACTGGCCAAATAACATCACCCTGGGCATTTTGGTTATTCAGAATATATGTCAAGGTCATTCATTTTATCAAACTTGGTAGCTCTTCATCCCAGTTTGCTTCTAGCCAAATATTATCAACCTAGGCACTGTGATTATTAAAAAAGTTGTTTAAAGTAAAATATTGACGACGGACGCAGCACCACAGCATAGGTGAGCTAAAAAGGTTATATGTATATGCTAACAGATACTCAATTCATTATATAGAAATGAATGGAATGGACAAAATTCGAATGTGATTACAACATCCACTTTGATCTTAATTATGGAATGGTGCAATCTACTAAAAATCTTCCAAAATCTATTTATTAAAGTGCAAGACAATATTTAAGACAAGAAGATAATCTGTTCATGACAAGAGTAATAATACATATATGACAAGGGAGATAATACATATATGACAAGGGAGATAATACATATATGACAAGGGAGATAATACATATATTATAAGGCAGATAAAACATATATGACAAGGGAGATAATGCATATATCATAAGGGAGATAATACATATATGACAAGGGAGATAATACATATGTTATAAGGGAGATAATACATATATGACAATGGAGATAATACATATATTATAAGGGAGATAATGCATGTATGACAGGGGAGATAATACATATATTATAAGGGAGATAATACATATATTATAAGGGTGATTATGCATATATTATAAGGGAGATAATACATATATGATAAGGGTGATGACCTTACCTGTTGGGTTTAAGCATGTCCAGGGCAGCAGAGACATCAGCGAGGTAACCAGGTAGTACAGAGCATACAGGAGGGACACATGGTTGTACACACTGACCATGACGGACACCAGAATCATACTGAAACCTAGGCCTGTAAATATACATCTGTACCATAAAAAAACCAGTTCATTTTGCAAACATTTTCTGTTCCCAGTTAAAATGGTAGCTTAATTGGAGTGAATAAATGTCACTAGCAAAACTGAATTCAAGTTTTCACAGCAAGAACAAAATGTTAATTTGGAAAGTATGCCCTTTTTGAAAATGGACACAATACTCATAAATATTGTCGAATGGTACAATAGCCAAGAGATTACCCTAATATATTTACACATTTAAATTCTGATAAATCATAAACATCAAAATATAACATCCCATGCTGTGAAAGAACAATAGGCGTTAATTCAAAACAAGTACCATGCTGTGGCAGGTCCCAGGCAGTGACTTGTTTTCACACCCGAGGGTATGTCAGTTTGTGTTTGTCATAATATCTATCACTTTCTTTCCCACACCTATATTCTCAGGATTGTGTATGTTTACCCAAATAATTCTTACACATGCAAGACTTGGTGTTCATAATGACTCATCATTGGAGTATAGATTTCTACATCTATAGTTAGTTACTAACATGTGACCTATCTAAGTATTCCTTATTATGATAAAATTTGTTTAAAAAATCGTTTCTGCTGATGGTTGAAGTAAATAACAATCAATAACTTTTCAAAGCCAACAGTTTAAAGTTTAAAACCATCAAAAACATTTCCAAAAGCTCATTGCTTGATTTCCAGGACCATCAACAACATTTCCAAAAGCATCAAAATCCACATTTCTCCTTTTTTCATATATTTTTTAAAAGAATGTTTGTTTTTTAAAAGTCCTTTATGAAACATCTAAAGGAATATCAAACTGAGAAGAAACAAGAGACCCAATGGGCCTGCATCCCTCACCTGGTATAAAAATCACACTTGTAGCCTTAAAAGTGGACTAAAATAAAGCTGTACAGGCAAAATATCAGTATCTATGATTAAAAGTCATTAAAAAAAAAGTTAAAATATTTTAAAACATTTCACCCTGTGACCTTGAAAGTTGAACAAGGTCATTATGTTGAACAAATTTTATAGCCCTTCAGCTTTGGATGCAACTTGCAAAATATCACCACCCTATCCTTTTGTTTATTAAAATTAGTTCATTTGACCAAATGTGACCTTGAAAGTGGGTCAAGGTCATTTAATCTAACAAACTTGGTTGCTCTTGATCCCAGGATGCTACTGACCCAATATCTACATTCAAGGCCTTATGGTTATTAAGGAGACGTCATTTAATACATTTTAACATATTTGACCCCTGTGCCCTTGAATATAATTTAAGGTCATTCATTTGAACGAACTTGAAAGAAATATCATCACCCTAGGCATTTTGGTTTTTCAGAAAAAGTTGTTTAAAGTTTTTCACATATTTGACCCCTGTGACATTGAAAATGGGTGAAGGTCATTTATTTGAACAAACTTGGTAGCCCTCCATCCCAGTATGCTAATGGCCAAATATCATCAGGCTAGGCCTTTTGGTTATTAAGAAAAAGTTGTATAAAGTAAAACATTGACGCCGGACAACGGACACAGCACCACAGCATAAACAAGGGGCCCAGAGGCCTGTATCTCTCACCTGGATATCTAAGCAGTCAAAGCAAAATACTAAATAAATATTATACTGTACTACAAATATTTCCAGATATTTTGCTCTGTATCTCAGCAACACCTTTTCCAAATTGGGTCCCATTTTCCTGTCCCCATTTGGATGGGGCATGATTTCTACAACATTGAATCATGTTGGGCCAAGGATACCCCATATCAAATTAGAAGCTGTTTGCAGTTTTTGCTATATTTGACCCCTGTGAAGTAGGTTGAGGTGGTATTCAATAGCCAACTTTGTCGGGCTCCATCTGTGACAGTTACCAGTCAAATATTATAATTCTATGCGTTTAGATTATTCCAAAGGAGTAATTTGAAGTGTTTGACATATTTGGCCCCTGTGACCTTGAACGAAGTCTGAGGTCATTTCGTTCGCAAACATTGCCGGGCTAAATCCCAACAAGAGGCCCAAGGGCCTTAACGGTCACCTGAGTTATGTGACAAGAGGCCCATGGGCCTTAACGGTCACCTGATATATTTATACAGAGAGTTGATTTGGTTTTTAACATGAACAGAAATATTATTCAAAGTGACAAAAAACAATAAAACCACCTTATTCAATATCTGGCATACAGATTTAAGACTAAAAAGTATTTGAAACTAGCACCTCTGATTCTAAGCAAGGAAAATGAAGAAATTTTAGCACACTGACTCTTTTGGGCCCCACCCTACAGCCCTTGGGGTAGGGCTGGCTCAAAATTTTCAAAGTATCAAACTGTCAACTCAGGGTTATAATTCTAATCAAGTTATTAGCATGTAATATTCAAAGTATCATTTGCCATTATAAACCATATTAAAAAGAAGAATATTTTTGAAATTTCAGTCAATTCAATCCTTTTTGCTACCTAATACTGTTAATGCTACCCCAAATTGAACTACTTCCAATGGCAATTAAACAAATATTGGTCCAAAATGTGATTTCCCTATATAAACTATAGTAAAGTTTAACCCCTCCCCAGGGGGAAACATGAGACCCCAGGGTCATAAAATTCACAATTGTGGTAGAGCACCTTAAGACCCTTCCATCTATAAAGGGTGTTTGATTCTACCATATCTGCATCTTGAGAAGATTTTGAAATTTCAGTCAATTCAAACTTTTTTGGCCCTCCCTTAGCCCCGGGGGGTCAGTCAGGGCTCATATATGTGCATACCATCAAACTGCTACCCAATACTGATCAACCAAATTGAATTATTTCCAATGGAAATTAAACAAGAGGCCCAGAAGGCCTGTATCGCTCACCTGGATATCTAAGCAATCATGGCAAAATATTCTCCAAATGAGATCCAAGGGAATATGCCAGACCCCAAGGCCAATCTAGGATCAATTCTAATATCATGACTGCATTCGTCCCTTTTTGCCCAGCATTTGTATTTATAGTTCTGGGGTGGGGATTTTAACCATTTCAAAGTTATGACCCAGGGGTCAAGTCTCCAAGGGTGGGGCAGACCCCAAGGCCATCCTGGAAGCATATGTGCATTCATTTCCTTATACTTAGCAATTGTAAATATGGTTATAGGGTGGGGATCTCAACTGTTTTCAAGCTGTGACTAAGAAACTAGGTCCCTAGGGGTTCAGTCAGACCCCAGGTTCTATTCTATTATCATGACTGCATTCGTCTCTTTATACCCAGCATTTGTAAAAATAGTTTTTTGGGGAGGGGATCTCAACCATTTACAAAGTTATTACCCAGGGACTACGTCTCCAAGGGTGGGGCCAGACCCTAGGGACATCCTGGAAGCAACTGTGCATTCTTCTCTTCATACTCAGCAATTGTATATATATGGTTATATGGTGGAGATCTCAACCATTTCCAAGTAATACATTTTATTGGCTCCACCCGTTAGCCCAGGGGGTCAGCCCCACCATTTCTACAATTTTGAATCCCTGCCTCCCATGAATCCTTCCGACCAAATATGATCAATATAAATGGCATAATTATGCAGAAGAAGTCATTTATAGCAATATTACCAAATTGCCCCCTTTTGGCCCCGCCCCTCAGCCCCCTGGGGGGACAACCCCACCATTTGTACAATTTTGAATCTCCACCACCTAGGAATGCTTCCAGTCAAATATGGTTGATATCCATCTCTTAGTTCCAGAGAAGAAGTCGCTTAAAGCAATATAGCCAAATTGCCTGCTTTTGGCCCCGCCCCTCAGCCCCCTGGGGGGTTAGCCCCACCATTTGTACAATTTTAAATCCCTACCACCCAGGAATGCTTCCAGTCAACTTTAGTTAAATTCCAATCAGTGGTTAAGAAGAAGAAGTCGTTTAAAGAAATTGTTGACGGACGGACGCCACGGTACAGCATAAGCTCACCTTGGTACTTCAGACCCGGTGAGCTAACAAATGTTAGTCCAAAATGTGATTTCCCTATATTATATAAACTATAGTGAAGTTAACCCCCTCCCAAGGGGGAAATGTGAGACCCAAGGGTCAAGAAATTCACAATTTTGGTAAAGCACCTTAAGACCCTTCCATCTATGAAGAGTATTTGATTCTACCATATCTGGGTCTTGAGAAGAAGATTTCTGAAATGCTAGTCATTTTGACCCTTTTTGGCCCCGTCCCTCAGACCCCTGGGGACTGGGGACCATATAATTCACAATTTTGGTTGATCTTTGGCCATGGAAGGTTTCTGCAAAATTTCATGTTAAGGGATTTTTGAGAAGAAGTCGAAAATGTAAATTGTTTAGGGACGCACGCAGCCGGACAAAAGACTTTGTCTCAGGTGACCTAAAAATCTGTGAAATCATGAATCACATTAAATAGCAACAAGAGGCCCATGGGCCTTAACGTTCAATGGACATCCGATTCAAATTAGGACTGTCATCCAGGGGCCAATTCATACTTTTCGTCGGTTCGAGTGACCTTGCTGCATCGTCCATTAATTTTTCCTTGTGAACACAATAACTTCAGTAAATATAAACCTATTTTGATGAAACTTTGTATGCAGCTTATAAAATGAGATCTTGGATGAGTTTGAATACCGGACCAATTTTACCATAACTTACATAGCTATTCCCCTTGGTAATTCTATTATTGTTGGACCCTGTGAACACGACAACTGAAATAAATGGGTGTAACTCCAATTATGACCCAAGAGGTCTGTTTTGAATAAACTTGGTAACTGTATGTCTTCTGTTCTTGGTTAAAAGAAAGAAGTAAAAGTGTAAATCAATAAGGCACAAAATTTTAACCTTTGTTAGTAGCAAAAATGCATCATGAATGAAAAAAGATGTACCACATGAATTTACATCTATTCTTGTGTAATGTCTATCAGCATCACAGGGACAAATAATAATATAATGACAAAGGGCAATAACTTTGCATGTTACCGTCAAATTATTACCGGACAAAGTTTCATTGAACTCCGTCAACATTTATTCAAGTTATTGTGTTTACAAGGTCAAATAATAATATTATTACAAAGGGCAATAACTCTGTAGGTTACTGTCAAATAACAGTTTCGAACTCAATTGATATCTTATAAATATAAGGCTACATACAGAGATTCATCAAACTTGGTTGATATTTACTCAAATTATCGTGAACACAAGGTCCAATGCAAAATAGTGTAATAATATTATTACAAAGGGCAATAACTCTGTAAGTTACTGTCGAATAATTCCCATTGTAGAACTCATCTGAGATCTAATTGATATAAGGCCGCATACAAAGTTTCATCAAACTCGGTTATCATTTACTGAAGTTATCATGTTCACAAGGAAAAGTTAACACACGACGCACGACGCACGACGGACAGCGATGGACAAAAGGCTAACACAATAGGTTACCATGACCTATGGTCAGGTAACTCAAAAGCAACCAGCCAAATAATATGATTCTATGCTTTCTATTCAGTAGAAATTGTTTGATAAATTTGACGTATATGACCCCTGTGAACTTGAAAGTGGGACAAGGTCATTTTCGCTCTCAAATTTTGTTGAGATCTTACCAACTAAGCTACCAGCCTAATATTAGGGTTCTATACCTTTCAGTTCTACAGAAAAGTTGTTTTGAGTATTTGACACTTTTGACCCCTGTGACCTTGAAAGGAGGTCAAGGTCATTTTTTGTTCTCAAACTTTGGTGGGCGTTTACCAGTAAAGCTACCAGCCACATATTAAGATTCTATACCTTTCAGTTCTTCAGAAGAAGTTGTTTTAAGTATTTGACACTGTTGACCCCTGTGACCCTGAAAGGAGGTAAATGTCATTTTCGTTCTCAAACTTTGATGGGCTCCTACCAATGAAGCTACAAGCCACATATTAAGATTCCATACTTTTCAATTCTACAGAAGAAGTTGTTCTAAGTATTTGACACATTTGACCCCTGTGACCCTGAAAGAAGGTCAAGGTCATTTTCGTTTTCAAACTTTGATGGGCTCCTCCCAATGAAACTATCAGTCACATATTAAGATTCCATACCTTTCAGTTCTACAGAAGAAGTTGTTTTAAGTATTTGACACTTTTGACCCCTGTGACCTTGAAAGGAGGTCAAGGTCATTTTTTGTTCTCAAACTTTGGTGGGCGTTTACCAGTAAAGCTACCAGCCACATATTAAGATTCTATACCTTTCAGTTCTTCAGAAGAAGTTGTTTTAAGTATTTGACACTGTTGACCCCTGTGACCCTGAAAGGAGGTAAATGTCATTTTCGTTCTCAAACTTTGATGGGCTCCTACCAATGAAGCTACAAGCCACATATTAAGATTCCATACTTTTCAATTCTACAGAAGAAGTTGTTTTAAGTATTTGACACATTTGACCCCTGTGACCCTGAAAGAAGGTCAAGGTCATTTTCGTTTTCAAACTTTGATGGGCTCCTCCCAATGAAACTATCAGTCACATATTAAGATTCCATACCTTTCAGTTCTACAGAAGAAGTTGTTTTAAGTATTTGACACTTTTGACCCCTGTGACCTTGAAAGGAGGTCAAGGTCATTTTCGTTCTCAAACTTTGTTTGGCTTTGAACAACAAAGCTACCAGCCGCATATTAAGATTATTTACCTTTCAGTTCTTGAGAAGAAGTTGTTTTAAGTATTTGACACATTTGACCCCAGTGACCTTAAAAGGAGGTCAAGGTCATTTTCGTTATCAAACTTTGATGGGCTCCTCCCAATGAAGCAACCAGCCACATTTTAAGATTCTATACCTTCAGTTCTTCAGAAGAAATCATTTTAAGTATTTAACATTTTTGACCCCAGTGACCCTGAAAGGAGGTAAAGGTCATTTTCGTTCTCAAACTTTGATGGGCTCCTACCAATAAAGCTACCAGCCACATATTAAGATTCCATACTTTTCAGTTCTACAGAAGAAGTTGTTTTAAGTATTTGACACTGTTGACCTCTGTGACCCTGAAAGGAGGTCAAGGTCATTTTCGTTCTCAAACTTTGATGGGCTCCTACCAATGAAGCTACCAGCCACATATTAAGATTCCATACTTTTCAGTTCTACAGAAGAAGTTGTTTTAAATATTTGACACTTTTGACCCCAGTGATCTTAAAATTGAGTAAAGGTCATTTTTGTTCTCAAACTTTGATGGGCATTTACCAACAAAGCTACCAGCCACATATTAAGATTCTATTCCATTCAGTTCTTCAGAAAAAGTGGTTTTAAGTACTTGACACATTTGACCCCTGTGACCTTGAAAGAAGGTCAAGGTCATATTCGTTCTCAAACTTTGTTTGGCTTTTAACAACAAAGCTACCAGCCACATATTAAGATTCTATATATTTCAGTTCTTCAGAAGAAGTCATTTTAAGTATTTAACACATTTGACCCCTGTGACCTTGAAAGGAGGTCAAGGTCATATTCGTTCTCAAACTTTGTTGGGCTCTAACTGACAAAGCTATCACCCAAATATCATGACTCTAGCCCTGTCCATTCTTCTGAAGAAGTCGTTAAAAGGAAAAGTTGACAGACAACAGACGCTGGACGGACGACAGACGCTGCACCATGGCATAAGCTCACAAGCCCTTCGGGCAGGTGAGCTAAAAGGTTAAATCTCATAAAATCAAGCCAAACGTCAGCCCATAACATCAAGGAAGGAAAATCATTTTGATTAAGATAAACAGTGGTACATCATCCTGTTATTGTTCAGTTTATAAACATTAGAAACTTTCGGTTTCCATGAAACATATCATTATCAATCTTACCTCTAAACAGCGGTACAACGTCCCAGGCTGTGATTGGACCACCCCTTGAGTACTGTCCCAAGATCATTTCCATGTACAGGAGCGGAAAACCACAAACCATCACCAGTATCAGGTATGCCACGAAGAACACACCTGTAGGTCACAGAGAACATACCATTAGACATTTCTCATTTTGAGGCAGACCTAGCACGGAGTCAGAGACGGACACTGAGAGTAGTAAATTCAGGGAACATCTCAAAATCTTTCTTCATTTCATCTGTATTAAGGAGGCTCCACCCTTTCGCAATTAACCAGCAGAATTCAATGAAAGTTTCACATTAGGTTGTGTCACTATGTAGAGATGATTTTATGAAAATCTTAGCATTCTGATAAACTGGGGATTTTTTTTATAAAAAATACCGAAAAAATGATTTTTTGTCAAATTAGCACTTTCCCATTTTTTGAGTGTGTGGCATTGTCAACAATGTGTTTCTATATTGCAGTTCTAGTCTAGTTATAAAAACACACGTAACTCTTTCTAGACAAATTCAATTAAAAAGAGCGCGCTGAGATCTTTAGAGGAACACGTTCAAATGTATGATATACTTTAATTTCCGAATGCGTGGTTTTCTAAATCACGTTTCTCAAGAGACAACTCAGTCTCGTGTGGCTTTATTTCAGATATTTTAGTTTTTACGTCACCTGAGCTTTAGCTCAAGTGACCTATTGCTATCCGTCTTCGTCCGTCGTCGTCTGTCGTGCGTCGTCCGTTAACATTTTACATTTTCAACTTAAGCTGATATACTCGCAAAGGAATTTCATTAATATTTCATGGGAAGTTTACTGACATCTCTCTGACCAAGTGTTGTTATTTTTCGGGTCGATCAGAAATACAATTTGACTGCCACGGCCGCTATTTTGAAAATAACTATTTTAAACTTAAAAACAAGTTCCAATAGGCCGATTTAACAGCTCATGGTCCTGACAAACTTAAGTTAACGTTATACTTAGCTATTTTTTACTCAAATTGGTACATATTTCAACAACAAAAATAAATACTGTAGGACTCAGGTGACCATTAAGGCCCATGGGCCTCTTGTTTTAATATGACGTAGAATTTGTACAACCCAACTCTCCATCAGAAAAGGAAAATAGGTGGTGGTAGTTATTTAGGAAAAAGATAGACTTGATATTCTATCCCAGAGAAAGCATTATGGCTAAAAGTTCAAAGGAGAACATTTGTGATAGCATTTTTTTTTAATATTTTGACGTTGGAAGTATAAGCTGCTTTCTTCTTTTCGTAAATTGATGTTTGTAATTTACCAGACCACAACATAACACCGGAAAAACTGGATTGGAAGAAATAGACGAACATGGATTCCGGGAAGGATGTTATAGTATCATACTTATTTAGTTAATGATTAAATACAATTATGTTATTATCTTGATTACATGATGTCATCTTTTGTTATTGTTAAATAGTCAATGTTTAGACATTTGGTTTACACAGAATTTTTATGTGTAATCCCGGTGTTTTTTCTATGGACGCTACGCCCCTGCTTATGGCTAATCTATTGTTCAAACAGATGGCAGAACAATAATGGTCGCTTCCACAGGGACCTGAGAATTTGTTACATCTATATTTGGACCTAAACTAAGGTGTGTTAGAGTAATTTTACACCTTTTGGGAGATTTGTGGCATTTTTACCGATAGTGAATCTAACACCGAGGCTCGGGGAATTTATCTTAACTCATTCGGCGTCAGAATAATACAACAGAGATCCCGGGTGAGATCCTTAGTGGAGACATTGAAATATCAATTACCACGGTTACATACTAGCCGCAGTGAGCTACGAAATGTATAATATGTCTCCATATGATGTTACCTGTTCGCTTACCTGTAGTCACGTATATGTGCGTGTACACACTGACATACCCTATACGCTACGTTCCATATAAAATATTTTTGAAATGACCCCTGTATTTGCTTGTCAAGGTCTCTGTCTCCTTGCTCCGTGCTAGGTCTACCCCAAAATGAGAAAGGTCTAGTACCAGTATCAGGTTTGCCATGAAGAACACACCTGTAGGTTACAGAGAACATACCATTACTAGGAATGCCATGAAGAACACACCTGTAGATTACAGATAACATACCATTACCAGGTATGACATGAAGAACACACCTGTAGGTTACAGAGACCATACCATTACCAGGTATGCCATGAAGAACACACCTGTAGGTTACAGGTAACATACCATTACCAGGTATGCCATGAAGCACACACCTGTAGGTTACAGATAACATACCATTACGAGTATCAGGTATGCCATGAAGAACACACCTGTAGGTTACAGATAGCATACCATTACCAGGTATGCCATGAAGAACACACCTGTAGGTTACAGGTAACATACCATTACCAGGTATGCCATGAAGCACACACCTGTAGGTTACAGATAACATACCAGTACCAGTATCAGGTACGCCATAAAAAACACCCCTGTAGGTTACAGATAACATACCATTACCAGGGATGCCATGAAGAACACACCTGTAGGTTACAGGTAACATACCATTACCAGGTATGCCATGAAGCACACACCTGTAGGTTACAGATAACATACCATTACCACCTGTAGGTTACAGATAACATACCATTACCAGGAATGCCATGAAGAACACACCTGTAGGTTACAGACAACATACCATTACCAGGTATGCCATGAAGCACACACCTGTAGGTTACAGATAACATACCATTACGAGTATCAGGTATGCCATGAAGAACACACCTGTATGTTACAGAGATGTGCGTGTACACACTGACATACCCTATACGCTACGTTCCATATAAAATATTTTTGAAATGACCACTGTATTTGCTTGTCAAGGTCTCTGTCTCATTGCTCCGTGCTAGGTCTACCCCAAAATGTGAAAGGTCTAGTACCAGTATCAGGTTTGCCATGAAGAACACACCTGTAGGTTACAGAAAACATACCATTACCAGTATAACGTATGCAATGAAGAACACACCTGTAAGTTACAGAGAGCATACCATTACCAGTATCAGGTACGCCATGAAGAATCAGGTACGCCATGAAGAACACACCTGTAGGTTACAGGTAACATACCATTACCAGGTATGCCATGAAGCACACACCTGTAGGTTACAGATAACATACCATTACGAGTATCAGGTATGCCATGAAGAACACACCTGTACGTTACAGAAAACATACCATTACCAGTATAACGTATGCAATGAAGAACACACCTGTAAGTTACAGAGAGCATACCATTACCAGTATCAGGTACGCCATGAAGAATCAGGTACGCCATGAAGAACACACCTGTACGTTACAGAAAACATACCATTACCAGTATAACGTATGCAATGAAGAACACACCTGTAAGTTACAGAGAGCATACCATTACCAGTATCAGGTACGCCATGAAGAATCAGGTACGCCATGAAGAACACACCTGTAGGTTACATACCATTACCAGTATCAGGTACGCCATGAAGAACACATCTGTAGGTTACAGATAACATACCATTACCAGTATCAGGTACGCCATAAAAAACACACCTGTAGGTTACAGATAACATACCATTACCAGTATCAGGTATGCCATGAAGAACACACCTGTAGGTTACAGATAACATACCATTACCAGTATAAGGTATGCAATGAAGAACACACCTGTAGGTTACAGAGAGCATACCATTACCAGTATCAGGTACGCCATGAAGAACACACCTGTAGGTTACAGTGAACAAACCATTACCAGTATCAGGTATGCCATGAAGAACACACTTGTAGGTTACAGATAACATACCATTACCAGTATCAGGTACGCCATAAAAAACACACCTGTAGGTTACAGATAAAATACCATTACCAGTATAAGGTATGCAATAAAGAACACACCTGTAGGTTACAGTTAACAAACCATTACCAGTATCAGGTACGCCATAAAAAACACACCTGTAGGTTACAGATAACATACCATTACCAGAATAAGGAATGCAATGAAGAACACACCTGTAAGTTACAGATAACATACCATTACCAGTATCAGGAACGCCATGAAGAACACACCTGTAGGCTACAGAGAACATACCATTACCAGTATCAGGGATGCCATGAAGAACACACCTGTAGGCTACAGAGAGCATACCATTACCAGTTTCATAGTTAGGACAGATATCATAGTTAGTATAACAACAGTAAACCATGGACAGAATGATACCATTACCAGTATCAGGTACGCCATGAAGGACACACCTGTAGGTTACAGATAAAATACCATTACCAGTATAAGGTATTCAATGAAGAACACACCTGTAGGTTAAAGAGAGCATACCATTACCAGTTTCATAGTTAGTATAGATATCATAGTTAGTATAACAACAGGTACGCCATGAAGAACACACCATTACCAGTATCAGGTATGCCATGAAGAACACCCCTGTAGGTTACAGATAACATACCATCACCAGTATCAGGTACGCCATGAAGAGCACACCTGTAGGTTACAGATAACATACCATCACCAGTATCAGGTACGCCATGAAGGACACACCTGTAGGTTACAGATAAGATACCATTACCAGTATAAGGTATGCAATGAAGAAAACACCTGTAGGTTACAGAGAGCATACCATTACCAGGATCAGGTCCGCCATGAAGAACACACCTGTAGGCTACAGAGAGCATACCATTACCAGTATCACGTACGCCATGAAGAACACACCTGGAGGTTACAGTGAACAAACCATTACCCGTATCAGGTATGCCATGAAGAACACACTTGTAGGTTACAGATAACATCCCATTCCCAGTATCAGGTACGCCATGAAGAACACACGTGTAGGTTACAGTGAACAAACCATTTCCAGTATCAGGTATGCCATGAAGAACACACCCGTAGGTTACAGATAACATACCATTACCAGTATAATGTATGCAATGAAGAACACACCTGTAGGCTACAGATAAAATACCATTACCAGTATCAGGTACGCAATGAAGAACACACCTGTAGGGTACAGAGAGCATACCATTACCAGTTTCATAGTTAGTATAGATATCATAGTTAGTATAACAACAGGTACGCCATGAAGAACACACTTGTAGGTTACAGATAACATCCCATTCCCAGTATCAGGTACGCCATGAAGACCACACCTGTAGGTTACAGTGAACAAACCATTACCAGTGTACGCCATGAAGAACACACCTGTAGGTTACAGAGAGCATACCATTACCAGTTTCATAGTTAGTACAGATATCATAGTTAGTATAACAACAGTAAACCATGGACAGAATGTCCCTGCCCCACATCAAAAAGGTTAAAATAAAGTCAGATGCAATAACAGGAACCTTGCCGTTATAATTCTTCACAGACGATGGCAACCAACCTAAGTCCCAATAATTTAAAGCTGGCCATTGTCATTGTCTATATTATCTAGCATGTGCATAACTCCTTGGTAGTTTCACTGTTATTCATCAAAAAGTTTTGAAGAATTTGTTCAGACACAGGCTTGAATTACTTAAAGATTGCACAAACCATGTGTACTGACCATACATATGAAGTCCAATCAACTTGGTAGTTAAGTAGGTGTAGGACATGGAAAGACAATATAATGTGGGTCGTTCCTCGACTATAGGTCTCATCATCATCACTGCTTAAGTGACTGTGACCTTGACATTTAAGTTTTTATGACTTTACTGAAAAACAGTCCCATATGTCCTTCCAATAAAGAACCGCTGTATGGTGTTGGAGTTTATGTGCCAATGGACACCATTGAGTAATTGTGAAGAAAGTGATTTTCTATTAAAGTATCATTGTCACCTTGACCTTTGACTTTCAAACACAAGAAAGCATTTCTGTCAGGAAACAGCACATGAAGTTATTGTGACGAGCTATAAAATTAAGTTAATTAAATAATAAATATTTGTAATTTGTCTTACCTCCACCATGTATTCTGGCTAACTCTGGGAATTTAAGAGCACTGTAAAGTCCTGACATAAACCCAGAACAAGCCAAAATATACTCAAGCTGGTTGTTCCATTGTGGAGTTGTCTCCCCTTGCAATGAACCTGATGCATATGACCTTTCATGGGTACAGGCCTCTTCTTCCTCTTCCAGATCAAGCTGGCCTACAGTGACAGTACTAGCATCGTCATATTCTCCCTCTGACCCAACATAACTGTCCATCTGTAAAACACAGGTGAAAAAGACAGGTATAAACAAAGCATGTAAAATATCAGTGTAAATAATAACAAAACATGTAAAATATCAGTGTAAATAATATCAAAACATGTGAAATATCAGTGTAAATAATATCAAATAGGAGTATTTTTGGTGTAATAGCTGGATCAACACTTTTTTCCAGTACAATTCAGCTACACATGTACAGTACTAAACCTTGTGTTCAACATGAAACATTCGTAATTTTTTGAAGAATGTTATTAGATAGGTAAATTTTTAATAATTCTAAAAAGGGTTAAGTTACCAACATTAGTGCATGAACATTATTCTAGTATATTTCCAAAGCACATAAGCTAAAACCAGCTCTGTATGAAATCTTTTTTTAGAATATCTGATTCTTCACTTTCATCACAGTAAATCACTTTCGCTACTAAATTTCTTTTGCTGGAAAGGGACTCACTGATTGCCAATGATCATGAGATGAACCCGCAGTACTGACCTCTGACTTTCTCATAATTACACCTGCATTGTAATTACAGCTAATACCCAAAGAAGCCAAATTATTCAGGAATAACTACTGTCTGGCAAAAGGAGGATTCACAGTACACCAGCTGCTGAGAATTGAATTAACATTTAAGATGGTGTATTTCCTGTTCCTGATCAAGTTTAGCCCATTAAGCACATGGTTTTCAGATACATGGGCACGCTGTATTAATTTTAAATGGAAACCAAAACAAATTAACATATGAAATTTCAAACTTTCTTAAATTTTGCTTGGATTATCTATCAGCATGTTTTGTTTTTGTTTTTCACTAGAAGCATTTTGATCACTGCAAAAATAGGGCATTCTCGATAGGAAAGGAAATAGACTGAGAGCTAGTACATGCCCAAGTACTCTGTAAATATGCGTCACTAAATCAAATCACTTATGTAGAAAACAGCAAGCAACAGCATCATTAACCATTACAGACGGCTGATTTCTATGTCAATGCACTTAACAGACAATTAAGAAGGTGTCTAAACTCTAGAAGAAAACAAATTGTCCATCAGTTTTATGGGATTGGACTGCTGCCCCCGGCAGCCCAACATGGTCGGTTACCTAAATTATCAGTGGACAATATTGTAGCTTTGGGGATTGTATCCTCTGTGTCATGTGATCAGTTGACCCCAGTTGACCCCAATTTCTACACTTTACTCACTTCCTATCACTGCAAGTGTAATATGTACCATTAGTATCATTTAAATCGATGCAGTACTTTTTGAGTGATGTGAAAAACATTTTAATCAGCTAGGGTTATTACCCTGATAGGGAGGTTTAAAGGGTAGTTATATACTTAATTGATATTGCCTCGATGTTCTGTGTACAAAATGTCATACAGATTGATGCAGTACTTTGTGGAGGAGTAGTGCTACAAGGTTTTAAAACTAAGGGACACATCTCCATTTAAAGTCTCTGAAACAAATTATAAGACGGTCAGCAACAAAACTCAAAGTTTTGGTCTGTTGGAATAACCACAGAAAACATGCCAAAGCCTGTTTCTGATATTTGACATAAACATACAGAGCCTAATGATATGATTGTTTTATCAAATTCGTTCAATTCGAAAGATTTTAGAACTCCTTGATGTCATAATAATTCACAAATCTGCTGTAAATATAAAGCATAGCTACACAAATTTTACAGGATCACAGTTATTAATGTTATTCTATTAATGGCGGGCCATGGTGTGAAACTATCTGTTTCTCATACTTTTTCAATAATGAACAATATAATTACATTTACAGCTTGTTCTAATTGGTGGGTGTTTCAAATTTGATGCAATTTGGTGTAAAATAATGAACGAAAATTAAGTATGATATGCTAAAATTTGTTCATCAGAAATTTTGATAAATATTTCATCTGTAAAGTATTCATTCTTACCTAGGAATTAATATTAGATTATATTTATGTTTCCTGTTCCTACACATGTACACATTATAATCTAATTGTGGTTTATTACTAGTATCCGAGTTACAACTGTCTTCTGCAATTAAATTTTGAACTATAAGTTCTACATGTCATAGCCCGTACCTAATAGTGTGACACTCCATCCAGTCACATAACGATCCGACAACTCGCTATAACATATACTGGTGACAAGGAAGACATTTGAAAAGGAAAGATCAGGTAGATTAAAACAAGAGATCCCAGAGGGATCTTGGCACCCACCTTTGTACCATCTTCATTAGTTCTTTTTCAGTTCGATCTTTTCTCTTCTTTCCTCTAATCTGTTTGATCGAGTCATGTTAACAGTAAATGCACCTTGAGGTAACTTTTGATTTAAATTTAATACTGATGTGTATGAAAGCCAACCTTCAAAGTTAGTTTGTCATTTCACATATTTACTAGTACAGTACTTAAATTAAGTGAAAGAAATAGAATCGATCATTGCAATATGAGAAAGATCTGTTTAGTTCTTTTAATCCATTTTGTTTTTATGATCAGTCTCAAAATATAACATGCACAACGAGAGATCATGTGGAACCTACATAGAAAATTTGAGAAAGATCCCTCCTGTACTTTCAGAGAAATAGCGATACCAAACTTTTACTATCAAAATCAAAGATGGCTGCCTGTCCGCCATGTTACTTATCCGATCAGTCTCTAAAATTGCCCTGCACAGCTAGGACCAAGGGGAACCTATATATAAAATTTAAGAAAGATCCTTCTAGTTCTTCCGGAGGAATAGCAGTAACAAACCTACACTATCAAAATCCAAGACGGCTGCCTGTTGGCCATGTTGTTTATCCGATCAGTCTCAAAAATTGCCCTGCACAGCTACGGACCAAGGGAAACCTACATATAAAATTTGAGAAAGATCCCTCTGGTACTTCTTGAGAAATACCGATAACAAGAATTGTTTAAGGACGGACGACGGACGACGGACGGACGACGGACGGACGACGGACGATGGACGGACGACGGACCAAGGACGCAGGGTGATTTGAATAGCCCACCATCAGATGATGATGGGCTAAAAAAACACACAGAAACCGCCAATACCAATATGGCCGATTGCTTCAGTTCATTTTCATGTAAAGCATCACATGTGATAAGCCTCCTTTAAAATACATAAGCCATGCAAGTTTAGTTTATGTAGGACAAGTAGTTTCTTGGCAAGTGACCTAAACCAATCTTCTTAACTATAGTGCAGATAGGGCCTGACCTCATCCAAACTTCTTAACCTGGTCAGTCAAGCAAAAAATGTGGGTCAGAAGCAGCATCCGAAGCATCATATATGTGATAAGCATCTTAAGATACATAAGCCATGCTAGTTAAGTTGATGTACAACAAGTCGTTACTTAGTAACTGACCTTAACCAAACTTCTTAACCTGGTCACTGAAGCAAAAAATGTAGGTCAGAACCAGCATCAAAAGCATCGCATGTGAAAGGCATCCTTAGATACAAAAGCCATGCAAGTTTAGTTGATGTAGGACAAGTAGTTACGTGGTAAGTGACCTAAACCAATCTTCTTAACCATAGTGCAGATGGGGCCTGACCTCCACCAATCTTCTTAACCTGGTCAGTCAAGCCAGCAAGAGGCCCATGGGCCTAAACGGTCATTTGACTACAAAGACTGAGCAGGGAGAATGGTAACTTTTCAACTTTCAAAGAATTTGTATTCCATGATGGTAGTTTGGGTCAGCAGTGAGTAACTATTTGTCAGTAAAGCTATCAGAAAGCATTTAAACCTAAATCTGAATAGATTTATCCTTTTAAGGCCCTGTCCCGCTGTCAACGGTGGTTAAACCTGCCTCATTTATATAAGAAATTATTGTTTCTAAATGATGTTTCATACTGAAATTGTTGTAATCTACTTTTGGCATTAACGAGTAGTGTTTTAAANGAAGGCACTAGTGGAACTGGAGTAGAAGTTTAAAAAGTGTTTTTCACGATGGCGTCCATCTTGGATTATAGACCAACCCGAAAAACCCTTGGTCAGGACCATCTCTGGATCATTTCAGGCAAGTTTCAGCGCCATCCCACGGTTGGAACTTGAGAAGTTTAAAATAGGTGTTGTTTAGGAAAACCATGATTGCAACAAATATGTTGTGTCGGACATATACATGGTGTTGTATTTAAGTCACGTTAACCTGACAAATATGTTGTGTCTGACATATACAGGCAGTTGTATTTTAGTCACGTTAACCTGAGAAATATGTTGTGTCTGACAGGGTGTTGTATCAGACAGGTTAATTTGACAAATATGTTGTGTCTGACAGGGTGTTGTATCAGACAGGTTAATATGACAAATATGTTGTGTCTGACAGGGTGTTGTATCAGACAGGTAAATATGACAAATATGTTGTGTCTGACAGGGAGTTGTATAAGACAGGTTTATATGACAAATATGTTGTGTCTGACAGGTTGTTGTATTAGACAGGTTTATATGACAAATATGTTGTGTCTGACAGGGTGTTGTTTCAGACAGGTTTATATGACAAATATGTTTGTCCCATATAATATAAGGTAAAATTTCCTGTGTATATCTAAGTCAGTCTTAATATACAGACTGAAAATATGAATGAGATTTCATTTATTGAGAGGTATAAACCAAGCCTTTCCAAATGTTATGGGAAATGCTAATCCCACTCAAGTTGAGCAGTATCATTGCAACAAAGCATTTGATTGCATGGACTTGAGAATACATGCCAAAAATGCATAATTTATACAGCATTGTCAATATCTATCAGACCACTAACATGTCAATGCAACAGGTGTTGTGTAATACAGTCTGAAAAAGTCGATACAAGTTTCCCAGACAAACAATTTTGCATTATAAAAGATGTAGATATGTGTACACCATGTACACTTAAATTTTGTGTAGAAGTGTTGTGTAAAATTCTAAGTTTATTTAAGCATACCTGCATGCTAACCCTTGAATCTCTCAATGGGGATCATGACCCCATTTCGGAAATTCTGTGGGGGTCACAGGTGACAAGGTATTCACATCAAATTACATCA